GCCCTCAAGAAGCTGACATTTGTGTTGTGGGAACAGTCAAGTAAACGAGAATGAAAATACAGAGAGGACATAGATCCTCCTCTGTGGAGTAGCCTGGATAAACTCACTGGGAATGAAAATACAGAGAGGACATAGATCCTCCTCTGTGGAGTAGCCTGGATAAACCCATGTGACCTCCTCCCCCACACAGAGGAGGATCTATGTCCAGCTAGGACCTTGGAGGATCAGGGAAAGGTGGCACTTGAATTGTATTTTAAAAGGTGAGGGGTCACCACACAAGAAGGGGAAGGGCATCCCAGCAGAGAGAACTCTCTGTGCAAAGGCATGGAGGCACATGGTGTCAAAGACTCCTAGGTGCTTAGTTCCTCAAGACAAAAAGGGTGGCTAGTGTGGGGAAGGGGGTAGGACAAAGGGTGAATAAGCCGACAAGAGCCAGAGCTGGCATCTGAGTTTTGTCCTGAAAGTCTTGGGGAACTGCTGAGTCATTCCATATAGACAGGATCAGATTCATATCTTCTAGGAGAGCTGGGGATGGATTTGGATCTGGGACCTAGAGAAGGAAAGAGGTTGATTAGGAGCCTGTGGCTAGCCTCCCTTGAGAGAGCAGCAGTGGGAATGGAAAGAATGAAAAGGCCAGACAAATATTTATGAGGGGAGGAGTCACTGGTCTTCAAAACAGATTGGGGTGAGTATGGGTAGGCTGGAAGAGTCTTGGGTGGCTTCAGGTTTCTGCTTCGAACTGGGCAGGTAACAGATGCAGAAGAAATAGGTTTAGAGGAAAGATTGATGGTGAGAGTGATACTTATTGAGTAGTTCCACTGTTTCAGGAATTAATTGAATGAGATATATTATCTCATTGAAACCTCACAATAACCTATGAAGTAAGTACTAACTGTTATCCTCATTTTAATGAGAAAATTAAAGGGTTAAGTAACTAAATGGTAGGAGTGTGATGACGAGCAGGCCTGAACCTTGCAGAATGCATTATCCCAAACCTGAACCCCCAGTGAGTTTATCCAGGCTTCTCCACAGAGAAGCTATACCCACTTCCACAGGCTTCTCCTTCCCTCCCTAGCCCCAGCGTCTGGCACCATCCCCCCACCAAAGCTGTTCAGTCACTGTCACCCCCTCCCTCAACCCACTCTACCTCATCCCCAGGACCTTGCCCTGAGTGGCTGGGGTGGGACCACACAGGGCTCTAGAACCCTGGTACTGACACCCCCACTTTCCTAGTTACAATACATTCTGCAGGAGCAATCAGAGAAACCAAGAAGATGGATGTGTTCTGTTTGCAATAAAAATAAAAAATTTAAATGAAACATTTCAATGACATCAGTGGGTCATGAAAGGTCTCCCTCCGCCCAACCCTGTGTTTATTTTCTGTGGGGACAGGGGTAGGGTTCTGGAGTAAGCATGCATCTCTCACAAAGGAAGCTCCTCGAGCTCTGTTACCCTTGCTCAAACTTTGTTTTGGGAACACTCAATCCAACTAGAGAAGCCGCGGGAGACAAATAGGGACTGCCACTCCTTTGAGTCCCATCCTCTCTACCCCACTGTTTGCATTGGGGGGCAGGTACCTGCTGGTTCCAAATTGCCTCTCACCAACCATCCAGTTGAGGTAAAGATGAGGGAGGTAAAGGGATGGAGAATATAGGTGATAAGAGTTCCTAGCTCTCTCTTGGGATTAGTTAGGCCTAGAAAGCCCTGACTTCAGCTGTCACCCCTGACTTCAGCTGAACATAATTAAATGGCCTACCCAAAGTCACACAGCTAGCAACTGGTCCAGGGCCTGGAGGGAGGAGGTTATTTACAAGACTGTTTTAGGCAGAAGTTAAAATGTCTACTTGCCTCCCCCGTCTCAGAACCATAACTATAGGAAAGAGGCCCATCACGACCCCAGAGAGCTTTCTGGTGTAGAGGCCTATAATCTGGGGATAGGGCAGTGAGAAGCATATGACTGTGTTTAGGGGTTCCAGGCTTCAGTAACGCTGCCACTGCCTTTATAGTTTCTGGAGGCACAAAGGTCTTCCCCAGGCCTCCTGAACTGTCCCGCATCTAACACCCACCACCCACCACCCACTACCACCCCACCATCTGCACCACCCCAACCTTGCCCTGGGTTCTATTTGCACCCTGTGCCTCTGATCTTGGAAGGGTTTCTGTTTTCTTATACATAAATCTTTCTTTGACCTCAAAGCAAGAGGTACTTGAGGGCCATCTCCTCTGCGCCTTTCAGGAACATCTAGAGCCCTACATACAGAAGGCAGCCACAGCAGACAGGAGATGAAAGCAATGTTGTTCTAACTATAGGTCACAGTCTGGTGGAGTGTTGTGAAATCAGTTGAGAGGATTGTGGCCAGCAACTTAAAAAATGAAATAAAATACAATAAATACAATAGAAAATATCAGGATACATGCACATGGCAAGAATAAGCATTGTCCCCATGACACTTGTTTCAGCTATCTCACAATATAAAATGTTTCTTGCTGTGGTTCACTGAACTCCTAGACAAAAGAACATTGTTTAAGACATGAGTCAGCACTCATACAGCAAAGTCATAAAGGCTGCCTGCTGTGTGCCAGGCACTATGCTAGGCACAAGAGACCCAATAATGAATAATACAGGCCCTAGTCTCAATCCATCTTCTGGTTGGGAAGCCAATAAGCAAACCAACAGTTGCAAGACTGAGAGAGTATGTAGGAGGCTATAAAGCCCTGAAATGAAAATGGGTATCTGGGAGGGTTTCCCAGAAGAGGTGAGGCAGTCAGAGCTCTTAGCAAGAAATGACAGTTACTAGGTTCTAGTATCTCCTCCATCCTATAGATAGGAAAGAAACTATGGTAAAGTGTCAAGAGTTCTAGTCGTAAAGTCTAAAGACAACATTTAGTCCTGCCTCCTCTTCTGAACAAGCTGTGAGACCTTAGGTGAGTCCATTAACCTTTCCAGACCCTGTTTTCTCATCTACAAAATGGGCATATCTGCTCTGTCAACCCCAGAGGAAAGATCAAATGAGACAAATTAATGTATGTGAAAGTACTTCGTAAACTATAAATGGAGGATTGCCTCTACGGATGATGAAATGGAAGTGTAGAGTGGTAATGTGTCCTGCGCAACACTACAGAGCAGTGGGGAGCAAGTTCCCCTGAATCCTCAGCCCTTGGCTCCTGCCTGCACTCTCATTGCAACTGAGCTACCTCACAAGAGGGAGGGGGCAGGACCCAAAGGTCCCCTTAGCAACCTGACTATTGAAGATCTATCTTAAGCATTCTATTGTTTTAATGATCTTTTGATAATGACGAGAGATAAATATGTGAGAACTCCTCCCTCTTGCCTTCTGTCAATGAATTGGGATCTACCCAAATTCAGTGTTTAAAGTTATATAAGCATCATTCAGATCTTCTGTAACAGCTACTCTCATTTTGGAAAATACAGCATTTCCATTAAAATAGTGTTATATAAAAAGGTTTGGTGTATATATGTGTGGGAACAGAAGGAACGGAAGGAACGGACACCCATGAGCACTGTTAAGGCACACAGGTATGTACACATACAACCTCACCTGTCTTCATGAAGGAGGATGGGGAACAGGTGTTTGATAGCACCTGGCAAGTTAAGATGTGACCTACTTCTCCTCCAACCGCCAGTGAAACCTAGTGCATGTTGGGCAAGGGGACTGTAGCAGGAAAGCCATCAGCGGCCTCAACACCCCCATCCTTCTGCCAAGGACCAGAGAAGACGTGACCTTTCTGGAAGCTTCTTCCTTGGGAGGGTGAGTTCCATTGAATCATAGAATATTAGGGTTGCAATTAGCTCAGAAATCACACAGCACAATCTCACTCTACATCATTCTTGCCAGTCTTGACTTGAACGGCTCCCCTCCTCCCAAGGCAGTCTGTCACCGGTGGATAGATGTAGCTCATTGGAAAAGACCTGATATTGAGCTGAAATCTGCCCTTCTAGAGCTCTCATTTATTGGGAACAAGTGAATATCTTTCACCTAGTCTTAAGCAGGCTTATAGGAGTCCTGCAGCCACAGCCAGCAGAGGGTGCCTGGGGCCTAAGAGCAAAGAGGGAGGCCAGCAAGAGTCCAAAGGGCTGAAGCTCTTCCCCTAAGAGACCTCCACCTATCTTTAACTGAAGCTGGTACTATGGGGGAAAAGGGAGTGAAGGGAGCCCGGGCTGGGAGGAGAGGGAGAAGGGAGGAAGCCCTGAATGGAAGCGGTTTTAAGCAAAGCCCTGCACCTCTTATCTCATTTGAAGTATGGGGTCAGATATCACGAGGTCAGTTCCAGCTCTGATATTCTGGAGTCCTGTCCTGCGTCCGCCTCCACACACATCCCTTTCAGGATTCGATGGTTGTGCTCTTTTATGTGAAATAGCGGGTCCACGATTCGAGAGCCAAGCAGAAAGTAAGAGAACTGCCCCGGGTCCTCTCATCTTGGCCCGACTTGGGTTAGGCTTCGTGGCTTGCCCTAGTAACCCCAGCAGAGAAACACAAACGGGAACAACCCAGCACCGAGTAGGGAAACGTGAGCTTTGGAGTGTCCTTTTAAGTAGTTGGGAAGGGGGTGTGGTCGAGGAGACTGGGAGGCTGCCACCGGGCGAAGGGGGAGTGGCCCGGAGGCGGGGCCGTAGCGACTGGAATGTTGTTGGGTCCTCGCACCGCATAGTAAGGAGGGGCCACGCCCCTTTTCTCTAAGAAGGCCAATCGGAGCGCCGGAGCGGTTTCAAGTCTCCCCTGCCAGCCTGCCCGCCCGCCACCCCACCCCCCTCGGGGATTCGCTTTTTCAGTAACAAAATAGCAAAGCTCTGGATCTTCCCAAGCCCCGGCCGCTCGCTGGTGGAGGGTGCCGTGGCCTGGGACGGTGCTCCGCAACGGGAGGCGCCGGCGGGCCTTGGAGAGGTCGGGTCCTGAGCCGGGAGGCGCGCGGGGGTGGGCGCTGCAGCCGCGGGTTGTTTATCTGGAGTACGGAGGGGAGGGGGGAGCCTGGAAACCGCCCCGTGTCCCATTTCCTCCTCTTGTTTTCGCTCCGGATTCTCCATGTTGGACCCAAACTGAGGAGCCCGGAGCTGCCGCCGGGGGATCGGGGCCGGGGGCACCCGGGGGAGCTGCTGCCCGGGCCTCCCGCTCTCCGTATAGGCTGCCTCCCTTCCGGGCCCAGGGAGGGAACGAGAGCAGGGATGTGAACAGCTGTGGGAGTCCGAGTCTCGGGAGCCGGAGACGGAGCGGGCCCCCGCCCAGGCCCCCCAGCCCAGCCCAGCCCGCGCGCCCGCCCGTCCTCCCGCCCAGCCAGCCCGGGCCCGCGGGACTGTTAGATGGAACACGGCTCCATCATCACCCAGGCGCGGAGGGAAGACGCCCTGGTGCTCACCAAGCAAGGTAGGGGCAGCAACTTCCAAAAACTTTGCGCCGCCCCCGGGCGGGGAGGGGGCTAATACAGCCCCGAACCCAAATCGAGGGCCCTGATCTCCCCGGCTTAGAGCGGACGATTCCGACCTAGTCCATCCGCCCTCGTGTGTGGGTCCGCACCCAGACCCGCGTGAGGGCTGCGCGGGGCCCGGGTTCTTGGCGCCCGAGGGGGAGGGGCGTCATCGGCGCAGCTGTCACCCCGTCCTGCACCCCTCCCCCTCGAGAAGAGAGACTGAGGATTAGGCGCTGGAAGCAAGAGTCCACTGAGTCCTATCCTCTAGAGTTGGGGGGGTGGGGTCGTCACTTTCTCGCACCACGATGCCCAGCTGCCCCAGAACCGTGGGGAGAGGGTTACGGATATGCACGGAGGGGTCTCCAGCTGGAATGGAGCCGGGACTGGAGTCCAGCACTTCCTGCCCCCCACCCTCCAAGCCCGAGGTCGCTCAAGCAGCGGGCGGTGACGGCGTCCGGCGGGACTTGGGACCAAGTTCACCGCCCGGAGGCGGGGGCGGCCGCCGTGGGGGAGGGGCCGAGCTCTGGCAGACCCGACCTGGCCCTCTTGCGGCCCTACGCTGAGCCTGGGACCTCGGCGGCTTGGGACTGTTACCCCGCCGCCTTCTGCCGCTTTCGCTGAGCAAACCAGCCCGACCCCAAGGCCCAGCCGGAGCTCCTCCCTGCCCCGGTGTGCTTCCCCGGGGCCACCGCTGCTCACAGAGCCGCGTTTGTTTAGCCTGGGAGCCGTGTCCCTGGTTACATAATTCGCAGAATGGCATCAGACCCCGAGTGTTTCTGAATCGCGCAACAAAAAGTGCGAGTTCTCCGTGGGCAGCGGCTCGCGGCCCCCGCCTTCTTAAGGGTCAGATGGAGACGCTAAGTGGGGTGACGGGCCCTCCTTGGGGTGGGCTTGGGCATCAGAGCGGGACGAAGCCGAGGCCTTTCTTGGGGCGGAGGAAAGGTTGGAGCCCGAGGGTAGGAATCTCTCTGAGTTTGGTCGCCGTGGAGGCCCCGAAACTACCCCTCCCCCACGTTCCTCTTCAAGCCTTGAGGAATGTCTAAAATAACGGACAGAATTTCCAAGGGGAGTAAGGACTAGCGTCTTTTTTTCTGGAGAACTTCCCGGACTGTGGCCACCTGGCTCTGAGGCTGGAGAGACCATATTCCGAGCGTTTATGCCCTTAGGTGGGCCCCCTCAGAGCTACCCGTGAAGGGCTAGTTCTGCAGTTTAGCACGTTGAAGCCGAGAGCCTGGTGGGGGGCCATCTGCGGGGCCTCGGTGTTGCCCCACATTCCCTTGTTTGGCAACATTAGTCAGCAGATCAATTATTCCTGGGGTTCACGGTCCCAAGGAGCACCCCCAACTTGCCTAGGGGCAAAGAAGCTGGGCTGCTGGCGTCAGCCTTTCCCTGATTCCCAGGGTGGAAGGGGTAGGGAGCAGTGTATGCTTTCTGCATCACTGGCCCTTTTAATAAGCCTGCCCTGAGGAAGGGGATAGCCTTGCCTGCTCAAATCCCAACCCCTGTACCCCGTCCCTGCAAAAGCCCCTGACTCCCTGCTCCCCTGGCTACATCACTAGCCAGGCTTTGTGACCCAGGCTGCAATTTCACCCCTGTGCTGGCTACTTAGCTGAGGGTTGAAGAGGGTAGCTTTACTGTTGATAGCTTTATTACTGATTTGCACTCTTCCCAACCCCACTCCAGGAAAAGACTCTTAAGAGCTAGCCAGAGCTGAAGAAATTGGGGTGTAGAAGGATTCCAGAGGGGGCAGCCTTGATGAAAAAGGGGAAAAACAATCCTCTGCTTCCCCACTCAGGTCCTTCTGTCCTGAAGGGGTTCAGGAGGGTGCCTTCTGGGTGAGAGCAGCACATCAGGAGTGAGGGAATGTTGTACTGCTGAAGGGGCACGTTACAAATCTGAGCTAGATGGTTTATCCACCAGGGCAAGGCAGGGAAAAGGATAGATGACAGCAGAAAGCAAAGCATCTGGCTTCATGACAGCGTTCAGTTGTTGATGCTGGTTGGATTTTCTTGGAGTTAACGTTTTTCATTTCCTTTTTTTGTGTGGTTTGTCCTTCAGGCTTATCCCTGGTGGAATCTGAATTCTTAAGCCAGCAGCCATGGGTGTCTCTTTCTCCCCATGTAATTTGATTACATTCCAGAGAAGGCATACTTTCTTCCAGGGCGGCTTAGGCACCCAGCAACCAGCAAGTCAACTTTCTGAGTCTCCCTTATCATTTGCAAGCAAATCCTGCATTTTTAAGGGGGAAAAAAAAGTGAGGGTGGGGAGCAAGTGTTTTAATTAGCTCCTTCAGGAGTTCCTTGCCCTCCTCCTCCTCCACAGCACCCCATCTCTAGGCCTTCCTCCCTTTGGATAAAGAGGAAGGAGTGCAAGGCAGTTTATAAATAAATAAGTCTCTAGAAAACAAATTGCCCCTAGTTTGAGTGTTTTTGTAGTGAAGTTTTTGCCATTGCTGGTTTTTTTTTTTCTTTTTTAGCATTCTCTTCTCCGCTTTAAGGTTGGCTGTCTGTTGATGATTCAAAAGTAATTACAGTAGAGGAAAGTTGCTGAAAACATTGATGATAAAAGGACCAAAATTGGATCATCTTCGCAGACAGATGGGTGAAATGGCTTTCTTGTACAGCAAGGGCAAGGTTGTATGTAATATCAAAAGTAAAAAAGAAAAGATAATAGTTTGGCCAAAGCCAAATAGCAGAATGGCTGTTTATTGCAGCACCAGATGAGGGTGTCACCCCATTGTCCTTTGGGGGAATAGGGATTTTTTTTGTTTTCCATAAGACTTGACGCCCCTTTTTTTTCAGGTAGAGGGTGATGATGCCTTCTCAGATATGGAACAGAACAGGTTCTGACCATCCCTCAGAATTAGGATGGTGGCAAGTTTTTCTACCTCTTGCTTTCTCCCCATGAGGTAGAAATTTTGCCTTATTCTCATGAAAAAGCTCAGACGCATTTTCATTATAGTTGTAGCTAGGCCCTTTACTTGAAAAAGCTTTGAGTCCTGTTGGGGCTTTCTTCCTTAGCTTGCTCTATGTGGGTCTATGGTGTCTGTTCATAGCTGGCTCCTCCTGCTCCACAGGTTCCTCTCCCTCTCTGCCCAGTCTGGGTCTTGGCCTCTTTGTGGCTCCTGAGGCGCTCACCCCTCTGTCTCCTTTGGCTTTGCCCCTCCCCCCATCTGGGAGTTGGGTAGGGGCCTGTGTGGTGACTTGAGCTTGTGTGTGCTCAAGGGAGTGCTGCTAACTCAGCAACAGTTTGAAATGCCTAACATCCCGGGGCGGGGAGTTTGCAGTTCTGCTGCTAAGTTTGACTTACAGAGCTTTCAACTGAGCAGGACTTGAGAATTGTGAAAAACTTCTCCAGAGGTGGCAGAAGCGATGTTGGAAACCGGGTGATAGAGAGATCCCCTTTCATCCTCTCTGTAGGACCTTTGAATCCCTTACGATCTTGGACTTTGTTAAAATGGTAAAGTTACATTTCTAGCCAATGTCAATTGATGCTCCCAGCATTTCTGTGGAGAATTCATTAATAGAAGTGTTTGTAACTAAGTATGGGAAAGGAAGACTACATAATTGCATACAAATTTTATACAAATGTATATTCCTTTATCGTTCTCAACTTTCTACCTGCCAGCTTTTGGGTAATTTAGGGTATTGTCTTTTATTCTCATCTTGAGATGGGTTGTGGGGAGGCAACGGGTAGCAGTTACAATGTTCTTTGTTAGTTCAAAGAATTCTTCCAGGAGCAAAATTGGTTGCTTCAGGCCTGGGTGCAAATCCCTGCTTTTCCTATTCACAATAAGACTCTACAGATCTGAGTGTTCTCAGTGACTTGACTGTAAAATAGGAATATTGTTATCTTACTTCCATAATGCCTGGTTCTTAGTAGGTGATTTATAATGTTAAGGTCCTTCTTTTTTACACAGCTAAATTTGACTTACAGAGCTTTCAACTGAGCAGGACTTGAAAATTATGAAAAACTTCTCCAGAGATGGCAGAAGTGATGTTGTTCCTGTCTCCTTCCTTCTCAACTATAGGGATCTTATGGAAACTGGGTGATAGAGAGGTCCCCTTTCATCCTCTCTGTAGGACCTTTGAATCCCTTACGATCTTGGACTTTGTTAAAATGGTAAAGTTACATTTCTAGCCAGTGTAAACCACTACTAGCCAATGTAAGCCACTACTAGTAGACCACTACTACTCGATGCCTCCTCTATTCCCCCAGGACTCAGTGCAAACAGCTCGCAGCCATGTCAGGTTTTATTGTTAAAGACAGGGGGACACTGGGCTTTCTGGAAGGATCAGCCTCGAGACTTGCAAACAGCCTTGCTGTACAGACCCTTTCATTGTACCAATGTGACTTGGGGTGGGATTTTATCGCACTAATGTGAGTAGCGTGTACCTTGGGGCTTTTGTAGTTTTATCTGGCACCTGGGTATGGAGTGGGAGGAGGCCAGGGAGCCATGCACATCCTGTGAAGAGTCTCTGAAGTCTAAACTTTCTTGAGCAGTTGCTGGCCTCTCAGAAATGAATATAATGAAGATTTGATGGAACTAAGATGCATTCTCTTACTGTCTGCATTTGGTTTAAGTGTTTATGAACCCAGTGAGATTCAGATTTCTTTTAGGAAATTCTAGTAACAAGGAGAGAAAAACAAACGGGTTTTGAAGAGAAATAAATGTTCTTAAGCTGTGTCTCTGCTGCTGTGGTTTTGGGGTACGACATTGAGAAAGCACAAAAGCAGCATTAAACTGATTTTCATCCTGTCTCAGGCCATCCAGCTGTGACAGCACAGAATTAACTCACTTGTCTTGGAGACATGGGATTGGGTGTGGCCCTGACACAATTCCCTCTCTCTTCTGAAATAGAAGACTAGTTCCCTACTGGGATGCAGATGAGCTCATTAACATGCAAATCTTATGAAGAAACTAGTGGAAATCAAAGTGGAGAAGTTGACTTAGAAC